CATTTTCTGTGGAAATTATTTTGATTATTTAATAGATAGCGCTAGCGTTTCATGTTAAACATGACGTGCCTTTTGACTTTCCAGAGGCTCTTCACCGGCAGATAAATAGATAGTTCGCACACCAATTGATTAGGAATATTTTGGTTCCTATTAAAAGATTAGATTTTTCGATTGTAGAAGTATATAGATCTTGTTTGATCATAGCAATACTGAACCACTGACTGCTTTAATCAATGATCTGTATATATTGTAAATATTAAACTTTACATTTTTAAAACTTATTCAATGTCGATTTCTCTCAACCTTTGAAGCTGGTGCATCGCCCAAGAAATTGGATTTAGCACATTGCAAGTGTGCGAAGACAGCAAAGGAGGCTAAATTTTCTATTTTGTAAAGTAGAACAATGTTGGAAGAGACTGTTGTTAAATTAAAATCTGAACAAAAAGTTATCAGGACCACTGTGTCCAAGATTCTGAAAAAATCGAGATGAAATTAAGTAAAGAAGAAATTAGTACAAGTACATTAGATAAAAATTTAGATCAATTAATCGTGAAATTATGCTCAAATAGAGCGTGATTTGAAAGTAGAGGCGAAAGATTTCGAAACTGAAGTCCTACCCTTTATAGAACACGAAGAGAAAATCCGGTTATGGCAATTTAGAGTGAAGAAAGAATTGAATAAAGTGACAAATTGGGGTAATGAAAACATTCTTAATGAAACCGCTAAAGATTCTAAAAATGAAAGCAGTAAATTTACTTGCCTCCCAAAATTAACTATCTCTAAATTCTACGGAGATTATACCCAGTGGACAAGCTTTTGGAACTCTTTCAGAGTAGCAATCCATGATAATGAATGTTTAACAAAATTGAAAAATTTAATTATTTAAAATCTTATTTATGCAAACACGGTAGAAGGTTTTTGTATTTCGGAACCAAATTACGATGAAGCTATTGAAATACGTAAAAACAGGTTTGGCAGAAAAGATATCATTATAAACTCACATATGCAAAAACTCCTGAATTTTGTCCCCCGGTAACCAATTCCAGTGACACTTTAAAACTTCGCAAACTTTGCGACACTATAGAAACTCGAATACGCAGCTTGAGATCATTAGAAGTTACAATGGATAAATAACAGTTATATGTTGATCCCGGCAATAATGAAAACACTGCCATCTGATATAACTTTAGAATTCATTTGTAAAACGAATTCATCATCCTTTTTTTAACAGCGATGAGTTATTGCAATTTGTTCATTCGGAAATGGAATGTTGCGACAGTAACCATCTTTTGCTCTCTATTCATAAATCAGAAAATACTTTATGTATTTATAAAGGGAAGGAGAATATAGCGTCCTCCGCTTACCAGGTCTTGGTGCCATTTAGTGAAGACGAAGCTACTAATTGGTATCTGTTTTGTAATACGTCCAATCATGTTACTGGAAACACAATCATTGAAAGTTGATGAGAGGAGAAATTTTCTGTACAAGCAAAGATGTTATGCTTGAAATCGAAACATTGTATAAAAGAATGCAAAAGGGATGTTGTTTGTTCTAAATGCAAGGGCATTGTTAAAGATGGCCCTACCAAATCCTCTCTGACCTAAAGAAAGTTTTATTGGTTAGACAATTGTGGACTAAATGAAAAAACATGATTTAATGGATCTTTGGAAAGTTCATCAATTACAGAATCCTAATTCTTATGATGATCTTGTCTTAATAGAAGGCAACAAGTGCAAACTTTTGTAGAAGTGTTGGCAAAGTGTACACGTTTTTCGTGGTCATGACAACAATGTTCATTCTTCTGAAGTAAAAACTACTGATGGTACAATAATAAGATGACCAGTTCAATAACCAGTTCTTTTGAACTTTAAAAACAATATTTATTATTTATTAATAAGAGATGATTCAGTATGTTTTTCTGCAATTGTTTATTTTGCTAGTTTAGTTTCGTATGATTATGAATAGTTTAGATTTATTGAAGTAGCGTCAAATTATATTTGATGTTAACATACATTTTTTTTATAATTTAGTATAGTAATTATAGTTTGAATATATTTTCTATTCATTTAATAAACATGTTGTCTTGTAATTATACGTTAAAATACTTGTTGTTAGATTAATGTGGACTCTTGACAAAGCTCAGGTGGGGAATGTATGGAAATTATTTTGATTATTTTAATAGATGGCACTAGCATTTCTTGTTAAACGTGACATGCCTTTTGACTTTCCAGAGACTCTCCACCAGCAGATAGATACTTCACACACTACTTGATTAGGAACACTTCGGTTCCTATTAACGGATTCGATTGTTAAAGATCTTGTTTGATCATTGCAATATTGAACCACCGAATGCTTTAATCAATGATCTGCATACAATGCAAATATTAAACTTTACATTTTTAAAACTTATTCGATGTTGATTTCTCTCAACCTTTTGACACCTTTTCTCACCTGATGCTATCTGTGGATCCTAAATTCTGCTCTCAGTGCCTGTCCTAAATTTAAAAAGTTTTGCCATTTCTAGATTGTGTTTCACGGTGTGACACTAAATTTTAAAAGTTCTGCCACACTGGCTCTGTAACCGGCACTTGCCATATATCATTTTGTATTTATTCTGAATTGTTTACATTACTAAAGAAATGAAATTAGCAGCTTTTTCTATACATTTTAAATACAGTTAGTTTTTCAGAATAACATAAATCTATAACCTTTTAACTGTCATGCTCGAATATTACTCCAACTAATTTTATTTTTTTTTTTTTTTTTGAGTGCATTGTATTGTTTTATCTGAATATATATTGTGAGAAGTTTATTTCAACTTCAATTCAACAGATGACACAACAATTCAACACTTTGCTAAAGGTTTCAAAGGATAGAGATTAAAGTGTGCAGCATTTTTCTTTTAATTTTTTGATTGTGAGGCAAACATTTCATTTTTGGAATAAAAAAAATTGACAATTTATGCACCCAAATCATCAAAATAACTTGACAGTTAAAAGGTTAATTAAATCAAAAAAAAAATTAAAACATATTGAAGAAAGGAACTGGATACACAAAGAGAAAAAAATTATTCTTCAAAGATATGTACAGTTATTATTATGTAAATTACCCAGTCGTTTATAATTTCAGCCTTTACTATAATTTCCCATTTCTATTTCCTCACCAGAATGCTTTTAAACTGAGGTTTTTGAATTGCAATACAGTGTTACTGGCCTCCACTTGCACGCTGCATTAGTTCCTGCCAGCTCTGATAATTTTTAATTATTCATCTTTGCAGTATTACTGCCAATATTTGAATTTGTTACAACAATAGTTATTGAGTCAGCTTAGATTAAAATTAAATTAAACCTGATGTCACACAGGGTTTGAGGATGAAATATTTCCGAGTGTCTTTTGAAGAAGTTTTGGGAATGTGTTGGGGTTATATTTAGTTTCATTCCGTTAGCCATAGAAACCAAGGAAAAGCGAAAGCAAACAACGTATTATAGTGCAAAATATGTAATGTATGACTGTGTGTCGATCCTTGTTTTAAATTATTTTATACACAGCAGAATTTTTAAATTGGAATTTAATTACCTGCAAGTAATTCTCATTTAGTTTTTTTTTTTTTTTTTTTTTGTGTTGTATTTGTACTTTTTTCATGTTTATAGTATTTATTTCTGTGTGTATAGTTATGATTTTAGTATTTTCCCTGTTTAATTTATTTCTATTAATGTGATATTCTTTATATAAATACACATTAAAAACAAGTACACTAAATACATAACTTCAAAAATTGAAGTCATTATATCAAAATGCTGATTTTATACGATCTTGGAAAATTAGGCTAACTGCTGAAAATGTGCGGGCCGGTGACGACGATCCATTTCAGCAGGTCCGATCCCGTGATTGCGCTTCGTTCTTCTGGTGCTGGTCCTTCAGGGGTTAATATATAATTATCCTAATGCCGTTTATGAATCAATGTCATAAATTATGTGCATTTTAAACTGTGAAATGTTTGTGATTTTAATAAATAAATGAAAAAATTTAATAGTGGCCATGTAAATCTATAATGACTAAGGTTATCTAACTACCTAATTTATTTATAACTAATTGCTCACCTTTAAAAGTTATCTCTGCATATTACAGCAAGTTATTGCCTTTCATTAATCTTTACCATGGTCACATGCTATACCACAAAAATGTAAAATTAATGCAAAACTTATTCTTTGCATCTAGTGAGATTTAAAATAATATAAAACAACTAGTCACCTCTGGTGCATTAGTGGCTTAGCTTTAAAGTATATTAACTGGGTTACAACCCCAGGAACTGTACATGAAGCTATGACACTAACTGCATCAGACGGACAGAGCACAACTAATTTTCAGTTGCTTATGTCAGGCTTTCAGCTTTGTTCTGATCAGCAGGTCTCTTTCTAGGCAAGCAGAAGCAGTGGCAACAGCCAGTCTTCTGTTACAAAGTATGCTGATTATAGTTTTACTTCTTATCTTAACCTATGCCATTTCACATAAAATCTACTTGTTATTTACTAACCTGTACTACCTGCTATTTACTAAACCTCTAGACTGAGCATGTATGAGAAAAAATGACACATAAAAGAAAAAATCAACATAAAGCTATCTGTTAGTAAAATGTAAATAAAATGTCACTAATCTTCTTTCAAATATGTCCAGTTTTAAAGTATGTGTATATATGTATATTTGTGATATGTATTCATGTGACAAAGAATTATCCTTCTTAAGAACATACTTTTGTTTATTAAGTATAATTAAGAAAATTACAGAATATAACTTGCTAATTCTGATTTTTAAATGGAAAATTTAAGAAGACATATTTAGTAGCAGTAGTAGTATAATGTTATATAACAGTAAATAAATGAAAATAATTATAAACTTCTAAAAATATTTATTTATTTGAATATGTTAACTTCATTGAATCAGAAAATATAAAACTAGGTTAAATACATTAATTTACATAATACCAATCATGATCAACATACCATTTCAGAGAAAATTCTGCAATAAGATAATCGGTTTTAAAACAAATCACAACACATGTTGAAGAATCATGTAAACTATTTCTGAAATTATGATAAGGAGAGTTGCAGTTACTATGCTTGAGAGCTTTGTAGTCACTGGGGGGATGGAAAAGAAAAAGTATAAATTTTAACTGAAACTTCATAAATATTTAAAATATAATTACACTCAGTAAATTAAATTATTACTGAAATATTAACTGAATTAGATGGATTCTCAAGAACAAGATTTATTTAGATTAACATGTTAATGCCGGCTTGGATATTCGTGGTCCGTTCCGTGTGGTGGCACTTTAACTAGCGGTCCGCCCCACTGTTTAATGCTTGCGCCCTAATCCCACTAGCTGATTCAAATAGACCAAATTTCCAAAATTCTCATGTGGCCCACACGTGGTCTGGCCTGCCTATAGGATCCACGGTGGCCAGTCGCATGAATTGGTAAAAACCCTAATTCGTTTTAATGGCCATAAGCCCAGTTGATGGGCAAACGATGCATGTGGTCAATCTCCTACTAGGAAAAAGAAATAGTCGTGTGTTTGTTGTAAATTATATTGAGTGCGAGCATCGGTTTTTGTCGAACCTACGACTGACGATTTCCAGGCGGGCAGGCACTCAAGGCCCCAATAGTATTTGGTTTCCTGGGTCGCTCAAAAAAGATATATATTGCCGGGCTAAGTGGGCAAGGAATGTCGTGGGGTTTTCCAGAGATCGGTTTGTTTTTCCTTTGGAAAATCACGGACCTCGGAGTGGGCTTTAGTTGGGCGTTCATTGCCCCGCCTCTGGATCTTCGGCGGACCAATTAGAAGTACAGGACCTCCCACACATATTGGAGAAAATCTGTGACTTTTTGGAAAATGAATATGCCCCAGTCGACACTTTTTGAATATTGAGTGTATGACCTAGTAATGAGGAACCATTATCGAACATTTAGATGATGACGTGAGTTTTACTAAGTTTAGAGTTGACGGCAAGAGAGAGTACTGTTAGTGTGCAAGAATTCTGTGTGAAGTGCCTGTGAGAGGCGAGGTCAGTAGAGTTCTGACATAACGAATTATCTGAGCACACATTTCTTCCGGTAAGTGTAACGGTAGTAAAACATTTCTTTACTTCTAAAAAGGCGGTTAGCATTTAAAATTTTTGCTCATCTAAATATTAGATACAATGGAATTCAGCGATTCGTCTGATGAATCCGTATCTGGAATCATGCGAAAGAGACAAAGAAATAGAATACTTTCATCATCATCGGACATGGCAACTGGTAAAAAAACCACAAAGGAAGAAGTTTGGGAGTCTGATGTATTTGACCAAGATGATGATGCGGAAAATAGAAGAAAATTCTGCATCAGAGGACGAGTATTCGGAAGAAGAAGTGCTACTGATTGAAGAGATGGACTGCAACGATCCTGTTGCATTATATAAATTATTCTTCACAGACAAGATATTGGACATCATCGTTGAAGAGACGAATAGGTACGCTGAACAGTGCATAGTAAATGCGGCATTATGGTAGGTGACAACATCAACAAGCAAGGAACTCTTACAAAAAGTTAACTGAATACCTTTATTGGTATCTTGCTTATTATGGGTGTAGTGCAGGTACTTGAAATTCAACTATATTGGTCCAAAAAGGAGATGTATGCGAATGTGTGTACACAGAAAGCAATGAAACACGATTGATTCTTAGCAATATTGAAATAGTTGCACTTTTCCGATAATGAAACGGCTAGAACTAAGGATCTCCGAAATGTAGTTGATAAAATTCTTCGTACATTCAGAGATGCAGTAAAACCTGGTAAAAATATAGTAATTGATGAAAGCATGGTTCTGTTGAAAGGACGCCTGAGTTTTCATCAATGTATACCAGGTAAGCGGCTCAAGTACGGAATAAAACTGTACAAACACTGCCTTCAGGGCGAATATACATACAATATGCATATTTATTGCAGAAAAATGAAACGAGAATTGTAAAAATACATTCTCATGATGTAGTCAAGAAATTGATAGGAGATCTATTTTTCAAGGGCCGGATTTTATTTACCGACAGTTTTTATACAAGCATTTCTTTAGCCAAAGATCTTCTCACTAAAAGAACATATGTTTGTGGTACAGTCAAAATGAATAGAAAATTTCTACCGCTGCAGGCAAAGCAAAAACAGAAACGGGGTGACATTATATCTTTTGAAAATTGGAGTCGCATGAAATTTTTAAAGTGGACTGACAAAAGACCCCTGTGCATGTTAACCACTTCGAGATCTCACAATTGCGCCATTATTCGTGGAAAAGATGATAAATTAAAACCAGATACACCATTTTTTCTTACAACAGTACAAAAAAGGGAGTTTATATATCTGACCAAATGTGTTCCTATTATAAATTTTTACGGAAAACAGTAAAATGGTATCGAAAAGTTGCCATGGAGCTAATATGCGGGACCTCTTTAGTAAATGCGTGGTACATCCACAAAATATGGGGAACCAAGCATTACCAAATTTTAAAATTTAGAGAAAAAAATATTGAAGAGTGTTGAGAATCCCCCTAGTGGAGAATTAATAATAAGTAGACAGAAAAAACATTTTTTTAAGTTCACATCAAGGATTCGCGAGGAAGATGAGGAAAAGATGTAAAGAGTGTTACAAACAAATGCTTAACAAACTTAAAAGGTACACAGTACGCCACAAACAAAACAAAAAAAGTAATGATCTTTTGTAGCAGTTGTTCAGATAAACCGGCACTTTGTTTAAAATGTTTTTTAAAATTGCATCAGTAACATAAGTAGTTATACTTTGTAATATTTAATGTATTGATTAAATTATAAGTTATGTATTTTGTGTTAAATGTTTGATTATAAGGTAGAAATGTTAATTTATAATGTTAAATCGATCAAATTACATTTTGTACTATGTATTTTTTTATATACAAACGTGGCCCGTTGGTGATGCATGCCGCCCCACGGAACAATCTAGCATGGGCCACCGGTGTGTCAAGCCGGCGTCAACGTTAATACAGTCAAAAGTCGTTAATCCGGACACCCATAATCTGGAATGATCTATAATTCGAACCTCAAAGCTACAAACTTTCTGCACATGCATCAACGCATAATGTGTTCACACATGCACATAGGCGTTGCATAGTCCCGATTAAAGACTTTTGACTGTATAAAAATATTACATCTAAATGATAAAGCAGTACATCCAACAGCTATAAATTTTAACTTTATACAAAACATAGCTGCAGCTTTCTGCATTTAAAGACTTTAGATCCTAACAATAGTCGAGTGATTGTTGAATGTTGGTAGTTCGACATGGGTTAAAATCCAGGTAAGTGAGCTGGCTGCATGATTGGTTTTCATGGCTTTTTCCAAGTGTAACATGGAAACACACCACTTTCCCTTAGGAATCCTCTACAAAGGCATGTACTCCACTTTCTCACAGCCGAAGATTACATGGTGGCGAATAGTGTTTTATCACTGCAGCAACAGATTAAAATTTAAAGTTTGTATTTTTCTAATGAGGGAAATTATTTTACTTCATAACAATAAATGTTCAAAACTTACATATCCAACAGTATGCAGGATGCAATCTGAAACCATTGGAAGGTCTTAGCTCTCGTCTCACATTATGTAATTTTCACATATTAGGAAAATTGAAAAGAGTTTTAAGAGGATTCATTTTCACTAAAACTGGACTAAGCGACGTAGTGGTGCAACACTGGTTTCTGCTGATGGCCACAGAAATCTTCAGCAGAGGTGCAATGTATTTTTGTCACAGTGGTGTTTGTCATCAGAACAGAGTTTATTTCTTTTTTTAAATTATTTTCTACTGTTTCATTTGACTCCAACTTGCATTAAATCAGTTTTGAATTTTCATTCATCCAATTTGAAGACTTTTAAAATATCTTGCTTCAAGTTTGAAATGTTTTTAAATAAATAATATTGAATTTAAAATACCTTTATACACCAAAATACTTTACACACTTATTTTCTATAAAGTGTTGTTCGCCTTATATTTGTGAAGGGAATCTCTGTTGTATGTATAAACTATTTATGGAATAACTAATTTCTCGAACAAATATATTTTCTTATATAATAGTACAGACGTTTCTAGAAAACTATATGAAAACAATCCTAACATTAAAACTAAAAAATTAAACATAAAAGAGGTAATAAATAATTGTATCTTATCTTGAAACTTCCATTAAAAGGAAGGTTATTTTATAGCAGAAAAATTATAACTAGTCTTAACAGGTTAAATAGATATATTATAACATAATGAGTTAAACATGTTAGATTAACATCTTACATCCTATTCCAACATTTAGAAAAAAAGAAAATAATAATAAATAATGTAACATTATGACTAACATCTAAGAAAATAATCTTAACATTAAAACTAAAAATTATATCTAATGTAATATATTTAACATATAACAATATTACAGTCACCCCATTAAGAGTAAAGTATCACAGAAACATACAGAATTTATCATGATTATTAACTCATTAATCAAAATGCTGCTGAATGAAATTTTTTTTCTATCAAAATGAAATTGTGAATCAAGGTGGTTTAAAATTTAAATCTGTCATAAACTAAAAGTAATCACTTTTACTCTTTTTGAACAATTTTAAGTTATGGAAACAAAAAGTGATTATGATTGTCATTATGATACCTCAAGCTTAAATGAAATGAATGACTTTCAAAAACCTGGCTTTGGCTTGGCAGCGGTGCCAAATCAGAACTATTTTTCATAACTAGTCTCTGTTGCATGCAAAGACAGAAATTTTTTAGCTAAATATTCATTTTAATACAAACAGTACAGTACACTCCCGATTATCCGCGGAATTGGAAGGAGCGGCCGCCGCGGATAACAAAAATCGCAGATAATCCAAAAAAAGCTAAAAACGAGTATAGCAAAAGAGAAAACAGTCATTCCAACTTTGAAAAATCGTTTTATGTACAATAAAACATAAAATAAACAGCAGGAAATGTTTACCCATTAGCCACTGGACGCAATGGTCAAAATAAATGCGTATATCAATATAACTACTTAAGATATTTGATAACAGCAGATGATTTTGTGTACTGGCGGGAAGTTTCTTTGAC